AGTCATCGGCCAGCAATAATAACCTGCTCCCTGTGCACTCAGCTTGTCAAGTTCTTGAGCCAACGAGAACCAAGATTTATGTTGTATTGAGAACTCCTTTCCTCTAGGGATGAAGAGAGGTCTGATATAAATCTGTTGCCTTAATTCTCTTTTTCAGGTCAGAACACGTGGGTTCAAGGAGGAATGATCAGAGCCCCAGGTGGAGATAAGAAGCCAGCTCTAGATTCTTCTTTTATATCACCATGCACAGGTACAGTTTTCTCCCATGCACCTTGTGTTGGACCCCCCTCTTATCCCAGCTCAGTAATCTTGAACGTGAATCCTAGTCACCTAATTTTCTAGGACTCCTCTTTCCCTGGTTGCTAGGTTCTATTTTGTAGCCCAACATCTACCCTAACTCTGACAGAATCCATGTCACTATTCATTGTCTCCCCTAGAATTGTCCCTGCCTAGAAGCTACTAGCACTGTGCTTATCTGTTGCTTCAAATTGGTCAAATTCCTTAAATATTGATGATGGAGTTTACTGTATGTCTTTACAATTGGGTGGTCACTGCCAGTACGCATTGGTCCACGCAACCCTCAACTCTTGCCAACTTGGCAAGAATCCCATTCACCATCTCCTCCTTTATCCTTGTATTGATCTTCCAGCATGCTTGGAGACAGGGTCACCAGTGGATGCATTTAGGATATTGTTAAAGAGGGTTATTTTAGTTGACATTGCCTAGATTTGGGATTCCACCTTGCTTTTCTTATTTTTAGATCACGGGATACTGATGCTGTCTTTCTGCATCCTTGCAGATGGGAAAATCCAAGAGATGGGATTTCATAATGAGCATCCAGCACTGGGTTGTTTAAAGTAACTGGCCTTGAACAAGGTATGAATGCCTTGTTCATACCATGGGGTATCCAGGCCAGTGTTCAGTTTCAGATACCTCCACTGTGCCCCTTATGATTTCCTTAATGTATCAATTACTGAAAAACGCCATCTCCGTTTGGGATTGGTGGCTAGGTGACAAAGAGAAGATAGAGCTATTTTTCTAACTTATTTTTCAGGAGAAAAATATTTTGATAAAATATTGACAAGTTTTCAACCTTTCTCCCTGTAGAACCCTCCTGTTGCTCAGAGCTTCTGAACTTGCCTTTTTTCTTAACTCTTCCCTTGAAACTTGTTTTTCCCTTCCTCCCTCTTGCCTTTCCTTTCTCCTTTCTTCATCTTTCTTTCCTTCTCTTTCTTCTTTTAAGAGGCAAACCATAGCTTCAGTGTTTGCTTTCTTGTGCCCTTGGTACCTATCATACATTCTCTTTAAGCTCCTTTACTCTAGTTATGAGCTGCGATACAATTCTTTTTTTTTTTTTTTTTTTTT